AATATCATCACAAACATGTTGATTATATGAAAAAAAGAGTAAGACTAGGGTACAAAAAATATCTCATAACTAACTTTTATTTATATATATATAAAATACCTCCTTAAGAGAGACTCTGCCTTACAACTTCTCTAGTTCTCATCCGCTTTTGGGTGCTCGGAAGCCTTTGGCCTTCTAGAGCTTTTGATGCTTGAGCAACTGGAGGGCTTCTCAAGCATGGCGGATCTGGTCCATCGTGCCCTTATATCCGGTGACCACTTTAGATAATCTATTGGTTCTTTTGTGGCTTTGTTGGTGGCCTTTGCTTTCTTTTCCTTCCATTTCTTGTTTTTTTTTTTTTTTTGTTTTGGTTTCTTAGATCTGGTGGCCAACGAGCCAATCGTGAAGATTTAGGAGACGACCGCTGCTTGCTCTACTGTTCCAACCACGGCATCTTAGAGAACAGGCATAATCTATATGAGAGTAGATGAAAAGGTGTCTAGATTTCTGGAACGATTAATCAACGTATGGACTACAGTTAATGGCCCAGGCCAACACCATGCGTGCATCTTAGGAACCCATTTTCAGAATCCGGTATCTTTGATTCTTTATCCCAATGGCCCAATGCTCTCAAGGTCAAGGCCCAGGCCCACTCTCAGACGTGTATGGTACGCAAACCGATTTTCCGTTATCTTCCTTTTGACGTCACGGTCTCCATCACTGCTCACTCGCAGTCCTTCCTTTCCAATAATTACCCAATTTGTTCTCCCCTCCCCGCCCACTCCCTCCAAATTCCGAAACTCAAAAATAAAAACCCAAAAGCCACCACCGCCTCAACGACAACCACAGCCAATCAAGGCCTCATCAGCAGCCTCGTCTACGACCAAGATCGAGGATTCAAGACTTAGAAATTCCCCATCAAAACATGATGCAATCGCCAAGTCCATGGATGCCATGGCTCTCCTCCAAGTAGCGGCTTCTCTGGACCACGGAGAAGGTAGGCTTCTCCGTTCGGCACTCAAACCGACGACGACGTCTAGCGGGAAATCGACGCTGGCAAATTTTAGGTACGAATTCTGCTGTTATGTCCTGGAACGTTTAATTATTGTGATGAAATTTGATTCAAAGTATTTCTTCATCAACTATCAGATTTAAAGAGTGTGGTTCTTTTCTAAGGGGAAGAAACTAGGAGATTCCATTCCATTTCTGCCATTTAAGCAGGGTTGTAAGTGTCGGCACATTCTGTATTTCCTCACTATATTTTTTTTGTGAATTTAACGGTGTCAGCAGTGATTCTAAGTAGTTTTATCCATGTTGTTTAGTTCAATGATTAATCTGCTGTTAGTTGTTCTTTGACTGTTGCTTTATGTTACCAATTTGGAATTATCTTCAAATTCGTAAAACTTGTTTCATTCTCAAGACAGCATCAGAGTTTGGATCACTTCAATTATATATGCTGGTATGAGACCTTTCTGCCGGCACCCACCAGTCTGTCCTCCCGCAACCATGTTACTCGTCTTCTTTAAGTCAACATCCCTTGCAGCAGGTTTAAGTTTTTATATATCCCAGCTTCATGCATATGAAATCTTAAATTCGATGCACTGCCTCACTGATTGAATATCTCATTTCTATTCTCAATATTAGCTTGGCAACACATGATTTTGTCTATTAACCAATATGTGTTCACAATTGTTTTGTATGATATTTATACTGGTCTTGCTCTGGAAACTTTAGAACCACCTATGATATATTCACTTCTTTGTTTTATTAGCAAGGGCCCTTTCTCTTAAATATCTCTATTGAGGATCTAAGGATCACTTTACATATGATTAAATAATAGTCTTTTGTACTCTCATGCTCTAATTTTAAATATTTATCTCTCCCACATCCCCTCCAAGTTATATTTCAGGCTCAAAGCTTGGATTGTAGGGCATCTCAATACATATCTGCTGGATCATTGATTAAACATTCTTGTTTTTGTAACCAGAGAAAAGGTGGGTTGATTTAGAGCTATGTCATTCCTTTGATGTTTCTCGCCTTTGCAAAATTAATATATATCCTGTCTTTCAAGAACTAGTTGTTGCTAGTTAAAACATGGGCCAAAGCCTGTTTGATGTCCCAACATAATAGAGATATGTGAACAAAAGGCTTTTCAGGCAAGAAGTAAATCAGGAATCATGATTCATGGAAAAACAGACTTGCTTTTCTATATTTGTGATCTGTATCATAACATAGGGTTGCATAGCTAATTATTATCTTTTGCATTATTTGTACTTGCCATGTGTTTCGGTCTCCATGAATGATGTTATTATCCTGAAGTTGCTGTGACTTGATAAGCTAGCTCGTTCGCCATAAAATAGTCTTTGAAATAATTCTATATGCAAAGACATGGAAACACACACAGACACGAAATAGACAGGGTAGCTGTGCATTTGATGACGATGACAGTAGATCCTCAGAAAAAAGATGAGAAACCGTGCTGAACAACATGGCTTTGGGAAGATGAGCTTTCAACTGGTAATTTGCACTTACAAGTCCTTCACCTTACCGTTCAGGGGACCACTGTAACGACGGTAATTAATATCCCATTGTGCCCCCCACTCTATCAAGATCATGGGAGATAAGGAGATAAGGAGATAAGGCACATATGACCTTTGTAACGGATAGGTTTCAGAGAAAACAGAAATGTGGGTAGTTACTAATTTGCTATGATTGCGCACTAAGCAGGTAAAATAAACTTCGGTTCCAATAGCTTTTGATCGATTGCTCACGTGTATGTGATTAGAAAATTACATATTTTTATTCTGGTCGGTTGCACAACTTAATTATGGTGTTGATTATAAAAAAGCAACTTGATTATAGTCTAACCCCACTTTCTGTTTGGTACATGACCATATGGTACCTTTACTGTTCTGCGCAGGTCAGGATCATATACATTTCTCATTTCTGTCAGGTAATCTCCGTATTTGTTCTTTTAAACTGACTAGTATCTTTTCCATTGTCCCTCTCGTTTATAAACCATAAGGTTGTACTTGTATCATATTATTGTGGGTACGTACTCTTTGCACTACATATATGTTTGGCAGGATCAGGACATCAGATACTTAAGGTCAAGTTGGACAAGGTGGTTTTCTGAAACATGTAAGTACTCATATTCACCACTTTTAATCCCAAACACTGCTTGGTAGATGTACAATGAGTGAAACTCTTTACCTGGACAATTGTTCGGACTTATATACAAAACAATACACAGTATCTGTGTCGACGGACCCAACCAGGGTCTGGCAAACCCCCGGCTGGGTGTGATTCAGAGTTGCCTAGGCTTGGTGGTTGACATCTCCTAAAAAACCAAGTCCACGAATAAATGATGTCATGCTGATGGAAATGGAGATAAAGATAGCCATTGTGGATCCATCTTTATTTCCATTATGGCCTCACCACTGCATGTAGTACTTTCTAATTAATCAAAAACTCGTTTTTCGTAGCATTTTGCAGGTGGCATGTGATACATGCCTCCGGTGCTGAAAATGACTAAAAGATGTAGCGTTTTTTTCTTCTTGAAAGGACAAATAATGTAGAAAATTGAGAGAAAT